TTCTTGGAAACCTGGCAATGACCCTGATTCCATCCCCTGCCGCTGCCCCCTTGCTTCCTGGACTGGCTCTGATGTCTGCTGGCGTCATCCCCCAGTGTTAACTCCCAGACATCCTTGATTTCAATCTCATTGACATCAGAGAACATGCTGGCATCCTAGAATCTTTCTAAAGCACACCCTGATCAGGTCAGTCCCCTCCTTGAAGATTTTCACGTGTTCTCAGGTGAAAGCCCAAGTTCATTAGCTTGGCTCAAGGTCCTGGTTTACACCACAGACCTACCTCTTCCCAACTACATGACTTGGGCAAGTTATTAACCTTCTCTATGCCAGAGACTCCTCATCTGCACAATGGGAATAACAAGAGTGCCTATTGCAGGAGGTTCTGGTGGACACAACTTACGTAAAACATGGGGACAGCCCCCGGCACAAAGTAAGCACTCTACATATGTGTGAGCCTTATTGTGATGAACTCTTCAGACGCACCCTTTGCCAGTCCCTCTCACGCAGTGTCTGGTTCCACATGTCCTGAATCACTTGCAGTTTCCCAAATGCCCAGCCTGCACCCTGCTCCCTCTTATCTCTGGGTGTTTTGCATGCATTTCCTGTCCCAGAGAAATGTCCATCCCCACCCCAACCCCCATCCTGGCCCCCAGCTCTTCCTCATTCTTATCTCAGCTGAGATGACACTGCCTCTGGGAAGCCATCCCTGACTACTCTTCAACTCTCTCTATCCCCCATGTGTATTTTTCTGTGTTCCCCTAGAGACCAGGGGCTGTGTGTGGCTCACTGTTATAGGAACGATTACAGTTCCTTGTAGACTAGGTGCTCATTAAACTCTGATTGAATGAATCCATCAGAGTGATTGATTCTAAGGCAGGCCTTAGAACGATGCACGTCTGAAATAAGATGATATAATAAAGTTCCAACCACCTGATTTCAAAGCTGGAGTGACTCTCAAGCTGTTTCTACTATTTTCCACTTGGTGGCACTACTTTACCTGGTAACCAACAACACCCACCAGGCCATCTCAGGATCAGTCTTAAATTGTGGGAGTGTTTCAGGAATTTGTGCCTGGCCTGAAGTGCTAACCCATTATCTATCTGGCTATGACTGAAGAACTGGTGGGTGGTAAAAACAGTGGGGAAGAGCAGGGGAATGGTGGGACAGGAAGTGAGACTGTACCAAGGAGATTCAAGGATCAGGTGGGTCTGTGAGAACCATGGGCATGGCCAGGGGGCTAGCTGAAAATCCAGAATGCCAAACTCAGCTCAGAGGGCAGGGGCGCCATGGAGGCAAAAGAGGGAGAAAGGAGAGGCAAAGAAGGAGATAAGACCCATTTAGCAACCACGGATGAGAAAATGTTCAGAAATTGGGCACCAAATTCCATCCTGGGGTTCAAATCTAAGAGCAGGCAGGGCTGGGGCAGCAAGCCAGGATTCGGTGCAGAAAAGCCAGCCACAGCTGCTTATTAAGGCTCACCAATAACCACTATGAAGACGATTACTTGTAGGATGTTCATTTCACAGTGGAACAGGCATTAGGGTTCCACAGTGTAGGTGCTGGAAATTTTTCTATGCTTTCCTTCAAGTAATAGAGGAGAATTTTGGGTGCTGGCCCTCCACACAAAGCAAGGTGGTTCCTGAGCAGTGCTCCCTGCTCCACGCAGCCACCTTCAGGTATGTGGGGGTCAGAGGTGGCCAAAGTGTGGCCAGCCAGATGGGACTCTGTGTGCAGTTGTGATTTTTGACTGGGTGACCATGGTCATTCTCATGGTCTTCCCTTCTCATGGACATGAAGACTGTACCTTAGCTAATAGGTCATTTCCTAATTATCAAACAGGAGCCTAGAGACTTAATTTTTAAAAAATCCTCACCCAAGTATATGTTTTATTGATTTTAGAGAGGAAGGGAGAGAGAGAGAGAAAGACAGAGACAGAGAGAGAGAGACAGAGAGACACTGATGTGAGAGAGAAACATCCATTGGTTGCCTCTCATACACACCCCAGTCGCGATTGAACCTGCAACGTAGGCATGTGCCCTGACCTGGGATCAAACCTGCAACCTTTTGGTGTTATGGGATGAGGCTTCAACCAACTGAGCCACCAGCCAGGGCTGATGAAAATATTTTTACTTGGATATCTCCTTACTATTAGCCCCAAGAATGCCACTCTTCTGGTTTCATGGTTGATGTTCTCAATTTTATTCAGGATAAACACCCATTCTCTGTTCAGATAAGCATTTGCCAGTGAGAAAGAAGGAAGACTTTTGTGATTTGCATGCTTGCTGCAATGGAGTTCGGTTTAAAACCACTACCTCGGGTTCCACAGGAAGCATAAATCCTCAGCCCCACTGCATACCACAAATAGGTATTGATAGTCTGAAAAGTTCCCCTTGGAAATCTCAAATATGTGGCCCTGTCCTTAGCCAGTGGAAATGTTAATCATAAGAAAAACTAAGAAATGGGCCACTGAGGTATTCCCTCCTTTTATGTTTTGGTTCTTAGTTCTACTTCTGCTTATTAAATGCACCACTGATGTTTGTTTTTCAAATTGTTTGCTGTTGTTTTACAGATACTGTAACAGCAGGTAAGGAGTTTTGTTTTAAAGAGAAAATTTACTTAAAACCCCACTTACCCTAGAAATTTACTTGGTTGAGCTTTCCAAGGACACAGGCCAAAGGACAGGTCAAAGGACAGGCTGGCGGACCTCAGAGTCAAGGGCAGAAGGCTCCTGGAGAAGGCGAGGCACAGAAACTCAAGTGGAACCGTGATCCTTTCTGAAGTGTGATTTACAAGTTGTTATTCTCACAGCCACACAGGGACACTGAAGCAGCATTCACACCATGTGGAAACCACTGAGGCTGTTTGGTTTTTCAGAACAGCTGTCTCTGTGAACTCTTCGTCCCCAAGCTCAACTATTGACTGCCTAAATCCCTTTTTGTCTTTTAAAGCCCTAGCATGAGGATTTGGCAGCTAGAACAAGGTTGAGCACGACTGATACAGGAAATGGCCCGTGGCTGGACTGGCGCCTGCATGCAGCTGAATGGGGACACACACACCCAGAGCTTTAGCAAGGAAGCAGCTGTCACTCAAAACATTCAGTTCAATGTCACCAGCTGTGTGTTTCCTTATTCTAAGTGTCTTGATGGTCTTTGGAAGGTAACAGTAATGGTGGGACACAGTATAACTCTGTCTTGACCTTGTAGTCGGGGTAGTTCTTTAGGAAGGGGGAGGAAATTGGGTAGCAAACTAACATTTGTTTATGTACCCTACACTGTGCTGGGCACTTTATTTATACATATGCTGCAGAGGAGACTGATTAAGACCACTGCCTGCGCAGGCCTGGGCACACCCTTCCCCCGTGCCTCATTTTCCTTCTGTAACAATAACAGTAGTAATAATACTGAGGCCACAGGGTTATGATGAGGATTAAATTAATTATTGTGTGTAAAGCACTTAGACCAGTGCCAGGAACATAGTAAGCGCTGTGTACATGTTTGCCACTATTCTCTTTACTAGTTAATTTTACAGAGCCCTGCTTTTCCTTTTGTGATAGAGGAAACTGAGGCTCAAGGAGATTAAGTCAATTACCGGAGATGGCAGAGCCTGAATCCAAACTCAGATTTATCTGACTGAACTGCTTTCTTCTCAGAGCAGGACGGGGCCTGCTCAACGCTATCGAATTCCCTCTCCTGCTTGCCAGCTCAGGGCTCAGTTTATTAGCTCTTCTTTGTACTGACAAGGGTGAAATCCTATATGACGGAGGTTCTGTCTCTAATCCCCCCATTCCACCCATCCCTGGCAAAAGGCCAGTGGTCAACTGTGTGAGGGTAAGGGGTTGTGGGAGGAGAAACTTCCCTCCTACATCCCCCACCCCCAACCAGAATGGGTTTTTCTGTGTTCCGTTTGCATCCTCTCACAGAAAGCAGGGGACAATGTAACTAAACAAACTATTCTAATGAGGACTCTTATTATAGCCTCGTGGATTTAGGGGGACAGTTGGCTTCCTGGATCAGTGCTGTCCAACAGAAATATAACACCGGTCATATAGATAATGAAAATTTTTCTAAAAGCTATATTAAAAATCAAAAAAGGTGAAATTAACTTTAATCATATTAACCTAATATATCCAAAATATTACTATTTCAACCTGGAATCTATATAAAAACTATTGATGAGATTACCGTTTTAAATCCATTGGGTTTACACATACAGCCCTTGAGCCATATACCATGCAAGTACACCAGGTACCAGACACAAGGATCCGTGTACTCCAAGGGTCTTCTGTACTCATTTAGCGACTATATATACATATAAAACTGTCCCCTGCCCCTTTCTTCTTTCATGGGCAGATATTGTGATGGAAAAAAAAATGGCTGAAGGAGTAAAGTCGCTCCCCCTCCCCCAATCATCCCCTATTAGTTCAGTTTTATCGTGTGGTCAGTAGGGATTGTCAGTAGGGATTTTTCGTGTGGTCACAGAACGTTTGTGCCAATCTGCACCCTTTATACTTCTCACCATGCGGCGTTGGGCGTGATGATTCTAGAAGGATTCAGGCCAATCTTAGACCCTCACAAAATCCTTCCCAGTGTCTTGTGCCCATGGGGACGGTGTGGCCTCTACTGACGACAGCACCCCCCGGAGGGGAGAGTAGCCCGATCTGCCAAGCAGACACCTGGCAGGGCTCAGGTTTCCTGGACCGGATGGCCGGCCGGAGCTCGGAGGCCCGCGCGGCCCTGGCGGGGCACAGGATGCACCGTCGGGCGTGCACATCCCGGGCATCCGCCCGCGCTCGGCCCCGCGGTGCAGCTGCCGCAGATCCGCGGGGGCAGCCTCCTCCTTGGGGCCTGGAAAAGGCACGAATCTCTCCGTCCGGGCCCCGCGTCCTCCCCCTGCGGGGCCGCGGGGCGGAGTTGCCCACCTGTCATCTGAGACGCCCCATGCGGGCTGGGGCGGGGAGAGGGTGGAGAGAGGGTGGGGAGAGGGTGGGGAGTGGGAGGGAGAAAAGGCAGAGGGTGAGGTAGAAAAGGGTGAGGCAGAACGTAGCGAGAGTGAGAGAGGAGGCGAGGAGAAAAGGAAGCTCCTGAAAGCCGCGCGGAGAAAGAGTGAAGAGCAGAAGGAAGACTACAGGGGACCTGAGGCATCCAGAGAGGAGCAGGTAAGGAGAGACAGGTGAACAGGAGGGAAGCGCCGGGCTAGAGTGGGACAAAGGAGAAGAGACAAGAGTGAGTAAAGGGCTGTAGAGAAGTGAGGAGATAAGATGGAAAGGAGCAGAAAGAGTAAGATTCGAGGGTGAGGTGGGGCCGGGGTCCTTCGAGGAGGGGCTGGAGAGAAACTGGGGCCGCCGCGCCTTTAAGGTTGTCAAGGCGACGGCTCTGGCCAGAGCGAGGCGCATTGACGTCAGCAGCCGAGCGCTGATTGGCTGCTTCTGGGCGGTTTCCGGTGGAGCCGCCGCGGAGCCGCTATCGCAGAGTAGGGCTGGGCTAGGAACGAAAGGCTGAGAGAGCTTAGTAAGCCTCAGACTCATATCCGCAGTCCCGTGCCCGCCGCCTCCCATATCCAGGTAGGTGCAGATGACTAGGGGCCTTCGTGCGGCGAGCTTCGCCGCCCCGCTGCCCGTTTGGGGGCGCTGGACCGATCCAAGATGGCGTCACGGGGAGCGACCTGCAGGGGGACGGCCGCACCCCCTGCCCCTCCTCGGCCGGAGCCTCCCGCAAGCCTAACCCAGATTCTGCACCTCCGAGGCCCCTTAGGCCCCAGGAACGGTCGCTCTGGTGCTATGCTTCCCGGCCGTCCCGCCCCCCCACCTCCCGTCCGCGTGCTCCCCCCCACTTCGCGTAGCTGAGGCCCCCGGCCCTGCGCGGCTTTCCCGGCCCTCCGCGGCCAACGCGCCCCCGCCGCCTCCGCCCCGCGCGCCGGGGCCTCCTCGCTCGCCTTCCCTCATTTCCTGAAGGACAACACCTCGAATTTTACCGGCATTGGCCATGGTTTTCTTTGGCGTTTCTGGCTGATCTTGAGACCTAGCAGTTCTTGTTTTCCTCTCTACTGTCTTCTCTTTCTCCTCCAGAAATCGCTTCTCCTTCTTTCCGGGTTTCCCTACCTTCCTCACCACCCTCCACGATTTTAGTCTGGCTCCTAAATCTCCTTTTTCCCCTTTTCACCTCCCTCCCTTTCCCAATTTTTTTTTTCTCCTTCGGAGCCGGCCTGGCCACCAGGGTGGCCTTAACGATTAGGGTAGGATGAAGGATCTGCCTCTCTTCTTCATTTTGTGGCCATGACTGTGGCCTAAGTGAACTGAAGGGCACTCTCCCGTCCTTCCTCTCGAAAATGCGCTGTACCTGTTAACCCCTGCAGATCAGTTCAGGTGTGATGCCAAAACGCTTAACTGCTTGAGAGAGTCCCAAAGGGTTGGTCTTCTCAGCAGAGGAAAGAAAGCTAACACTTTCTCCAGACAACTCCACGGAAGTGATCCTGGCTGGTGGTTGGGGTGGGGGGGCAACCTTAATTAGCAAGAGTCTAAGTGTTTAAAATTAATTTCCTAGCATGTAATCCCTTTGAAACTGAATTTTATCACAACTGAGTTTCCAAACAAAATAATCTGTTTTCTTAGGTGTAGACACAATGCAGTGAAAAATTTTAAAGTATTAAATAATTTTTGGAGGGAGAAGTTACATTGTTGAGCTTTTCAGACTGAGTACAAGTACAGAATCAATCTCAGTATATTCGGTTATTATCAAGGCCATGAAATTCAGAATTCCGGGGTTCACATGGTGACTGCAGTGTCTGCTTTTTGGTCTTTGTAATACATTACTTTATTTCAAACAAAAAGCATTCGTCCCTTAGAGCCCATTCTCCTTAATCTTTGAATTATTTCTCTGGTCAGTTGATACATGTGTTGATATTCCCGAAAAATGTCTGAATGTTTTGAAGTGTAAAAGATCTGATTTATCATTGCTCTTGTGGCCTTCAGTGTTGTTAGAAATGCATAAAATGGTACTGAAGGATAGCATCAGTTCACACGATTGACCCAGAAACATGTCTGGTGTTGTGTAAGTCCGTCCTCAAGTAAATGGCCTTTTTCTTGTAAGTGTGAATTCCCCAAGTAGCAGGATGATGCTTCTGCGGCCTTGAATGTGTGTTGTCTGGGAGCTGCGTACTTCTCAGGGTCTGTTAATTAACCTGCTCTTCATCAACCCTTAGGAAAGTTGCCAAAACAACGTAAGTAATAGTGTAGCACTTGTAGCACTTTAGCCTTTTATTTTAGTATTTCTTTATGCTTTTACATGTGTAGTTTCATTTCAGTAGTTTTGTGTGCATTGTATTTGGAAAAGTCTGGTTAGTGCTGATTTTAGTTGCGGACCTTGCTTTTATCTTCTAATGCTACTTGTTTAGTAATTAGGAATAGAAGGATAACAGTTTATGATTCTGTTGTTAGATTACTAAGCTTTTAATTCCATTCGGTAAGGTTAACTGCCCATTGTTATAGCCCTACTTTACTTCACATCACGGTAGTTTGAATCTCACTAAGTGCAGTGTATCTATTGACTCTATGCAAGTTTAAAACAATGTATTTTAATATTTCCTGTCCAGATTAAGAAAATATTATGACATTTTCCTGTCTAAATCTTTATAGTTTACTTCGTAAGATACATATTTTTTTTCTATTAAGGATTTTCCTTATCAGTGGGTTAAATGTGTTATCATTTAGGGCTAGAATCTGGTAAAAGACTCTGGAATAAAAGATTGCTTTTAAAACTCATCTGGGGTTTCTTTCTTTTATGCTTTAAAATTTTTGATTACACTAGTAGTTGGCTGATCATATCCTTTCCCCCAGTGGTTTGCTGGGTGATATTAGGACTCCCTTGGGGTAGGAGTTCATATAGGGAGTGTCAGATGTTCTTCATTGTGCTTACTTGCTTTGATTTAGAGCCTGCTTGTGTGCCCCTGTAATTCTCTGTCCTATTTACCATTTACACACTTCCCACGTCATTATAATTTTTTTTGCAGGGGGAGAACTGAGTGGAATTCCCTTAAGGGCCTGACTCCTTAGCAGTCCACCTCTGCAGGGGATAGTGGCTCATACTTCCTCCCTGGAGCTGAGGTTACTGCCTTTTGCTGTTACGTCTGCGGAGTCTAGATTCTGTAGCAAGAACTGAATGAAACACTTCTTTGGAAGAATGCTGTTTCTCTACATATCTTCTTATTCCTTAGCCCCTACATCCCTTAAAAAGATCTACTTAGGGAGGGGAAGAAAAAACTCTTGTGAATCAGTCCTAATGAATTTGTTAAGTTTAAAGGCCAGTTTGGCATTTGTTCTCTATGAATAGTTTACATGAGCACATGTGTGTTTTTTTCTTCATAGAGAACGAGAACCATGGCGTCTGGCGGTTCTTCAGCCAGTGAGGAGGAGCGCAGCCTCCGGGAGTGCGAGCTCTACGTGCAGAAGCACAACATTCAGGCCCTGCTGAAGGATTCCATTGTGCAGTTGTGCACTGCTCGGCCTGAGAGACCCATGGCATTCCTCAGGGAATACTTTGAGAGGCTGGAGAAGGTAAAAATAAATGTGGAGAGACGATGAGATGACCCAGACCGTTGTTAAATGTAATGCTATAGAATGTCACTAATTTGTGTCTTTTGGAAGAAAAGGAATTCTGACCAAATGAGAAGTCTACAGTAGAATTTCAAAAAAGAAATGCAGTTAAGGCATTTGTAATTTTTATCAGAAAACAAATCTGTATGCTGTTTACTTGGCAAACAGGGTTTCCAAACTTGTGTTTTAATCAATACATAAAAGTTGCTAAATGAAAAAACGGACTAGATACAGTTGATCAGAAGTAGTGTAGCAATGGTGTGGAATGAGACATTCTGTAGTACTTGAAAGCAGTTAACGTGTTTCTCTTCCTCAGCAAAGCAAGTAAACTTAATAAGCCTTATCCCACCTTTTAAAACCCAGGTAATGAAACATTTCAATTCAGCTTGTGACTGATATAGCAGAACTTCTGAGTTAGCGAAGTCCTTTTTTTGGTAGAATGTATCTCAGATGAATTGACTGTAGAGCAGAGATCAAGGTTGATGGTTGTCAAAATTGTACTTACAGTTTTGGTCAGGGCATGTTTCCTCTTTAAAAACAGTTAAACCAGTTTTTACTCTTTGTTTTTCATCCTCACTGTGTGTATATCAGTGTGACCCCAGCATGTGTATATGTTTTTCTATGGAAAATGGTAATTTTACATGAAAGACTGCTTTAGTTTCCTCAAGAAATGATGAATGAGAAAAGCCTGGATAGCTACATGTTTTGAGTAGTTTGTTTGATTTGCTTCTGTAAATTTGTCAGATAAATTTATAGGTTTTCATATGCATATTGAAGTTTTGATATGGTTCATAATGATTATGAACCAAATAAGAGTCATTGCTTGGGTATATAATCATTATATAATTATGTAATGGAAATATTTATAATATTTCCCATTGATTTGGGCATTTCTTAATGGATATATTAGTGAAAGAATCTGTTTATACTAAGATTTTAAAAATATTCAGGTAATTAGGCACTTTCTACTGTTTTTTTTTGAAAAGCTCTTTGTTAAAATTGGTGTTTAGTACCGTGATTTAGAATAATTAAAAATAACTGTAACAACAAACAACTAGTTCCTATTAATGTAGCCTTGCTGTTTTGGAATTGTAGTAGAAAGTATGGCTTTGTCTTTGTCTAAGCAATGTCCAAATAGTGTTACACTTCCGAGCCAGGCTGCTATGGGTGTTTTGTTCTGAGATAAAGTGCGTTCCTGGAGATCTGGTTCTGAAATGGGTCACTGTAAGGTGATCCCTCTTCTCTTTGGACATCAATAGACACCATCGAACGAGGGGATGAAGTTGGTGAGACATTATGTGTCTTTTTATAGGGAGTGTTGACTATGTGGTGGTGGTTTCAAAGCCTGTACTTACCATAGCACTGATTAAGCACTATCAAGGGGGAAGGCAAGAAATTATTAGTCTTTTTGCAAATGGGATTTTTAGATTTAATGTGTGCTGGCTTCTTTACCTCTCAATGAAGGTCACAGCTTAACAGACTTTTCCTGTCATGCAAGGATCTTTGCTCACTTGCATACATTTCTTTAGCTAGGACTTTAGGTAACTAGATTTTCAATTTTCCAACATGTCATTTGTTCTGTACACTAGGTGTTAGGTTCATATGTCTGAAAACACAGTCGTATTCTTAGGTCATATTCTCCTTCCCTGTGTTAACCAGGGGTCGTATTTCTGGTATCCTCAACTATTCTGTGCACCACAGACTCTCACAGGTGGTCCATGGAAAGCTTCTGTGTTTTACTTCAGACCATAATCTGGAATTCTAGTTCACTTTTATGATCTATTTATTAGAACTTTGCCTATCTGATAGATTAAAGGAATTTTAATAGCTATAACCATTGAGTGTTTTCTGTGTGACAGGCACCATGTGAGGCACACAGCACACACACATTTATTCTTTGAAATGTGTGCGGTAGGTGATTATTACCATTTTACAGAGGTAGCAGATAAAATTAAGAATGATAAAGTAACATGGCTCTGATCATATAGTGTAATAGTTTTTGTTGCAGCAGCATATAACCCTCACATTTCAGTGACTTAATACAAAAGGCCTTCCTTAGGTCTCAGTCATATGCAGCTCTTCTGGGCTCAGCACATCCTGTCCTGACTCCACATGTCTTGTTCTGGGGCTGAGTGCAAGGGGCAGCCACATTATTGGAGCATGCTGTTCTCAAGGCAGAGAGGAGCGGAAGCTCAGGGGGGCAGAGCCAAACCATATAAGCGGACATGGTATGGAATGTCCACTTAACGTTGCATGGTCAAAGCAAGTGTAAGGTCAAGCCCCAAGTTGGGGGTGGCAACTTTACTTACAGGGAAGAACGGACTGGTAGGGGCAAGGAGGGAACAAATAATTGTGAAAATATTAAGTGGTCGGGACAGAATCTGAATATAAAACAGTAGAACATAATGGGGAGGGGGTTTTGGGAGTGTCGTTTTAATATGTGAAAGAATGAAGAGAGACGAGACTAACAGAATGACAACAGTAAAAAGGAGGATATAGAAATGTGTCATAATACATAATTAGAAATCGATCTTGATAATGGGTCTGAGTCATCACAATTAAGATTATATCTGATTGCTGTTAAAGATAAGAATCCATAAAAAACTGTTAAAATCAAAATGCTTTTGGTTCTTCAAAATTATCTTAAAAATTAAATTAGAATACAGTTCCAAATGAGATGCTATTTGTGAAAGTCCAGTGACAAATTCGGGGGGTGGAATTTGTGTTTTCATTTATTGCTCTTACAAATGAAACTCTGGGGAGACTTGAGTTTTACAGTCCGTGTTAATGTGGAATAGGAAGACCTTACCGCTTATTGCAGTTACAAGAATGAAAATGAAGTGAGTTTTCTAGAATGTATTTTTAGGAAATGGGTTACTCATTTGCACATGGTTCATAATTTACAAAAGGGTGTAACAATGAAAAGTCTCCTCCATTGTCTTCCTTGAATGCAGCCAGCCACTGGTCTATAGGCATGTGGGTGTTTACAGACAAACTCATATTTAAAAGCTTTTTATTTTCTGATGTGTGTGTGGCATTTCATTGCATTAGATACACTATAATTTATTTCAAATCATTCCGTTAATGACCATTTTGCTTGTTCCCAGTGTTTTATTGCACTACTAAAAACAGTGATACAATGAATAACTTTGTATATATGTCATTTCACATATATGGATATTTTAAAGTAAATTTCTAGAAATAGAATGACTGGATTATTTGGTCAAGAAGTAAATACATTTATAATCAAATATACATATGTATTAAATCTACTTTTGTTATATGTTTTCCTGATTGTTTTCTTAATTGAAAATTAGAAAATCCAGAGAAATGAAAAAAATAAAGCAGGCCTCATCCTTCCAAAAAAGAAAAAAACAAAAATCAGTCATAATTGTGCTGATAGAGATTAACACTATTAATACCTTGATGGTTATTATTCTGGACTTTTTTTGCTGTGTGTATGTAGTTCTTTTATTCGTCTTGATGCCAAAACGAGGGCTGAGTACCACGCAAGAGAAAAAACAGGCATCTCCTTAATTTCATTTTTATTAAAAAAGTTTGAAATAGTAAATGCTAATAAGTTCATTTTGAATTTGAAAGATGGTTTTGGAAAAATAATGGCAAATGAGTTAAATGAGAAATAGGGGATAATACTTCTTTTTTTATTCTTATTTTATATCTGTCATATAAACTCATTCTTTGCTGCAGACCTGAGCAATTTCTTTTTAAGGCTCTAGATTTGATAAATAAGAATGTTAAGGGATGAAAATGGAGACAGCTGTACTTGAACGACAACAACAAAAGAATGTTAAATAGTTCATATTAGTTTTCATATGAATTAATTGAACAGAAAGTTTTTAAAAGCAGGTAAACTTTTAAAAATTTAACTCCATGTGTAAACATTGAGAATTTTTGTAACTCTGCTTGCAGAAGTCCCGTTATATCTGATCTAGTTTAAATTATTGGTTACTGTCACATCATTTCATTATTTGTTTTATTTTCTGAGACTCCAACTAGAAATGAATTCCATGGGCTCAGGATTCTCCCCTATTGGTTTTTGTATTTCCCTTGCCTGACGTAGACTTGGCATGCAGATCTTGAGAATGCTTATGGAATGAATGAAGTAACCCAGTAATCTAGGTACTCTGGATAGCTTTGCTATGCTGGAGTCCATTTTTGGGAGGAAGGAGGGTCTCCTGCTATCTGCAACAGCTACAAAAACACCAATTCCCTAGGAGTTTGTTTTGCAGCTCTTTACCATTGCCTGCATTACGAATCCTTGTTGTCAATGTTACCATGACTACCTTAATTTTTTACTTGCATGTTATGTGTCCTCGTACTAATGGCTTTTGTTCATTAATAAGTATGGCGTCTATTATCATCTGAGAAACAGGCCTTTCAGAATATTTCTTTTCAAACTCCACTCCATTTTTTCCCATTTGGAATTGACTTTTCCCCTTTGGGTAAGACGAAGAGATTTGAAATGACTTACCATTGAAATATGAGAATACCAAGTTCACATCCTGAAAGGTCTCATTTTGTAAATGTGTACTTTTTTTCAGGAGGAGGCTAAACAGATTCAGAATCTGCAGAAAGCAAGCACTCGTGGAGATTCCAGGGAGGATGAAATCTCTCCTCCACCCCCCAATCCAGTGGTTAAAGGCCGCAGGCGACGAGGTGCTATCAGCGCTGAAGTCTACACTGAGGAAGATGCTGCGTCATATGTTAGAAAGGTCATTTTGGTGTTTAAACGTTTGGGGCAGTGTTTTTGGGATCCACATGGTAGTTCTCTAGTTTCCTTTGATGAATGCATGCATGGTTTCGAATAGTAAAACATAAACTTGATAGGTCGTACACCATCCTGTGTGGTTCTTGGGTACTGTGATACCACGCCACCAGAGAAAATAACTGAGAGAGATTGTAAAACAGTGAATAACTGCATTTTGGGAGTCTTTCTTTTCCATGCTGTTTTGCAGTAGTAGGAGGCAGTATTCCTTTTTCTCTTGAATAAATGGTTTCAATTTTTTGACATCCTGTAATTCATGTTGTGGCTTTTTAACCTTTTATCCCATATATAAGCTTTATCCTAACTGGCTGTTCCTTAGAACCTGCCTGCCATTTTGAGTTATGCCATTAGCTTGAAGTGGGAAGAGAATTGTCCTGACTAGAGGCTGTGGAACTAATAGTACCTCATCACAGTTAAAAAAAATGGCTATCAAAAATGTCCAGTTTTATATTAGAATAATGACCTTGGTCAAGGTGATTTTGGTTTATTTATTTGTAGACCGGGAATCAAATACCATCCTTTAAATACCAGCCCACAGGTCTGGCGGTAGGCAAGGGGATTAATTAGTTGATATTTGTTGAGTACTTTATTGGATCAAAAGTAGTATGTGTGTGTTATATTGAAAATATTTAATTCAAGGTAGTCGTTTAAATATCATAATGTAGCTTTTCATTTAATTGCATGCAGGTTGCAAACATGAAATGTTATTTGACTTTCTATTCTTGTCTAGGTTATACCAAAAGATTATAAGACAATGGCTGCTTTAGCCAAGGCCATTGAAAAGAATGTGCTGTTTTCACACCTTGATGATAATGAGAGAAGGTAGGTACAGGTTCTTTGTCATACTGTCTTCCTGTATAGCTGTGGTCCCAGACTAGTCTTATCATTGTTGCACATTTTAAGGCTCATTATTCACCTGATGACAATCCCTGCTGAAAATCTAGGAGCTTGAATTTTAAGGTTAATGTTTGAAGTCCATAGAAGAGGCACATGAAATGTAACACGAGGCCTTCTGTCTCTTGCAGTGATATTTTTGATGCCATGTTTCCGGCTTCCTTTATTGCTGGAGAGACTGTCATTCAGCAAGGTAAGGGCTGCTGCTCTTGTGGCTTGTAGTATTATTCTGGGAGAGGAGACAAGACAGGAGGGTTTTTAAAAATGGAAGTTTGTTTTCCTCTTTCAGCCTGCCAGTTTGTGTTGTACTGCGGAATTTTTCTATTTTTAAAACTAAAATTGTCTGAGCCAAAAGACACACTTTCTCAAGGGACTAATATTTCCCTACCAAATACAATTTTGTTTATAGTAACTGTTAAAGGAAATTCTTGCATTTTTATTTGAATGTTGAATGGAATTTTAGAATCATATATCTTATATATTCTTTATATTATTATTAACCACTTACAAAGGAAATAAGCAAAACTCTATTTTCTTTATCATGTAGCTCATCTATTTATGAGGTTTTATACCTTCTAGTGATTCTTAATGTTTTTGCCTATGAGTACTAACACAGATCTAATCTTTTGGGTCTGCTCCCCAGCCCCCCCTTTTTGCCTTTGTTATATACTCTTGATATTTTCATGGGTCTTTATTACCCATATTATTTTCCCATTTGGGATAATCAGATATTTTGTTAGTTATAATTTGGGTTGGTTCTTATTTTGTTGTTATAGGTGATAGGCAGTTAATATTTTTATACACATACATGGCTGCTTTTTAAGTTACTTTTTAGAGATCTTTTTTCTTCATGAGGTGACTGAAAATTTGACCAGTTTTATGATTTTAAAAATATTGCTGGAGTTTTTTTTCCTGAAAGATTGTGTTAATTTATAACATATTCTCTTTTTCATAGCATCACTATAACATAAGTTTATTATTTGTATCAGTTGGATAGGTTTTTTTTCTTTTGTGTTTCTTTAATTTGTAAAATGCTTCTAACTTTTTTGCTCTCCCCTCCTTCAGGTGATGAAGGGGATAACTTCTATGTGGTTGATCAAGGAGAGATGGATGTAAGATTTAATAAGAGCAAAAATATGTTGATAATCTTAAAAGTCAATGTATTGATATTTATTGCCTTTAAGTTTCTGAAGGGCTACTATAGCCCTTGTATGTCAGATTTCATCAATACCTTTTGCCAAATATTTTAATGATACAGAAAAACTTTTTAAAGGTAATTTCTTTAGGTAGGAAAGAGTTCAGAACCTGCATGGAGCAGCGGTTAAGGCGTGTGTGCATGTGCTGTCGAGGGAGAGGAGTGGGGGAGGCTCTAGGTGCAGGCATCAGGGAACTGGTGCAGCTTTCTCGATTCTCGTAAGTTTTGCTTACAGATGAAGTGGGGATATTAATGGCATTGTTCTCAGGGTTATCAGACAGTTCTGTGCCTTACGCTAGTAAATCGCTTATTAATTAGCACAGTGCTCAGCCCAGTGCTCTGTAAGCATATGTGGTTTTTACCAATGCTTGGTCCACCTTTTTGTCCTGATCTGTCAGTACAGAGTAACTTTGTCCTGTCAGGTGATTAAGCCAGGTAAATCACAGACCTTCTGAATTTATTGAACTCATTGTCAGAAGTACTTTGCTTTGTACTGAAAATGTAGTATATAATATTTTAAAACAAAGTTCAGGGTTCTGACCCCTGAAAAAGATTTGTGGGTTTTTAATACTTAGGTGTTTATGTATGTAGAAGAAAATAATTCTTTGTCATTTGTATTTTAGGTCTATGTTAACAATGAATGGGCAACCAGTGTTGGGGAAGGAGGGAGCTTTGGAGAACTTGCTTTGATTTATGGAACACCTAGAGCAGCCACTGTCAAAGCTAAGACAAATGTGAAATTGTGGGGTATTGACCGAGACAGCTATAGAAGAATCCTTATGGTAAGACCATGGTTTTTGGAGTGTGATTTGGACTCCCTGTCTATGCCACTAGTATTTAAATTAAATAATATCACCAAAGTAAAACAAGAATTACTTTTAATGATTAAATGCTTTGCATTAAGCTCAGTTTAGCATTATTCATTGTACCATTTGAGACAGTGATCTTTTAAAACAAAAGTTGGGCCAGGACTAACATGGAAGACAAATGTGGTGTATACAATAATGGTCTGCTCACGTCTGGAACTCTCTCCATTTGCTGATTACAGACAGTCTCATAAGTGCTGCTTCTAAGTGCAAAAAGTTATTTAAGGCCATTAAGAAGTAATCAGCTTCCCTTAACTGAAAGTGGGTTATTGGTGTAATGCAAATGTCACCTTTCCTTTCGCTGAAGGAACAAACAAAATAGTAAAACCATTGGGACATTCTGCTGATATAGTCAGACTTTTGGGAACTTTGCAACAAATTTATCAGGTAGCTCTAGATGTTTAAGTCCCAGCTGATGGCATTAGTCATCTTGAATGGTTTTCTAAATTTGTGTGGTACCCATCTGGCTATTTGAGAATATGCAGTTAGATGTACTTTGAAAATTTTCTGTATTTGGGGATGGATATATATGTGCATCAATATTTATAAATATATAAATTGCCAAGGTAATTTATTGTGTAAGGATTTTTTATTAGTAGAGGATGATGTGGTCCCCTTTTTCTGCCAGACAGATGTATTGAACAAAATTTGCGGATAAGACAGCTTGGTAAAGCTTGGTGCTGTGGCACTTTTTTTTGGAAGGGAGGGTCTATAAGTGGTAGCAGTTTTTTTTTTTTTTTTAATTTGTGGAAGATTGGGGTAATGTAGAAGGACCCCGAACTGGAAATACATTCAGCTATAGCCATATATATTTATTTTATTTTTATTTAAAAAAAATTTTTTTTGAGAACTGATTATTTACTTTTTTTGCATCTCACTAATTGGTGGTGTGAGGAACTGTCTTTGGCCATGTACTTAGGGTCCCTTTTAGGAGGAAGTTGCTGAGAGCTTTTTATTGAGCTAACAGAGGGGCTTACCATCTTTACCATGGAGAAAAATAATCATGTATCAGGAAGCAGCAGCAACAAGCTATGGTTTCTCTTTTAATTTACTCAAAACTTATTACTCCACAGAATTATGTGATAATTACACATTTTTTTGACTCACAATGTATAACTCTTTTTTAAATAGGGAAGCACTCTGAGAAAGCGGAAGATGTATGAAGAGTTTCTTAGTAAAGTCTCTATTCTAGGTGAGTTTTGGAAGATTGCATGGAGAATTATTAAGCTGAAGTGTTAGCAGTACTTAAGCAGAATCTAGTGTATTTCATAAAAAGTACACTAGTTATAAATTCTTTTTTCACTAATAATGTAAAACTCATGGAATATAGAGTTAAAAATTTGATTAAGTTAGAAGTAATTTTAAAGTATTTTTAATTTGCTAGTATATGACAAACCTCTTGATTAAAAATGATTGGACCTGAGAAAAGCTTTCTGGAATTTTGTGCTACTCGTTTCTCCTGGAGAGACAAAGGCTAAAAGTGTCGTCCTTCTGAGTATGGACATTTACAGTCATTCCTCCTGTCACTTCTGTTTCTGGTGCTCTATCTGTGAGATTTTTGGTTAAGGAAAGTGAGTATTTCCAATAATGTATTTCCTCTGTAGAGAGATTAGGTGTCATTTGCTGGCTTTTTCTGAAAACAATGCTATAAGTTCTGTTGAAATTTTGGGGATAGTCTCTGTATTGCTAGAACCTGTTCTTCATTGAGGGAGGGGATAGTGATTTTTATGAGGTAGAATGTCTTCTGCCATTGTTTTGTTACAGTGAATTGATTTTATTCCCCCTGTTAATTGTCCTTTCTCTGAAATGGTTACATTTGCTTAGTGTCTTGAGTGTTAACTTTTGTTCCCAAAGGCCAAACTATTTTTTAGTTCTTGTTGGTTTGATAAATTAATTCAACTGAAGATTTAGATAGATAAATTATTTCTCTGAACCTCTGGAATAATATGGTTGGTGACACTGCTACGTCTGGGTTCTGTAATTGCAGGTTGAATTTACACTGAAGGCAGTCTAGGAATACTTAGTGACTCTGTTTCTGTATTCCTTTATCATTGGGCGTGGTTAGTTTAAATCTGCCTGGCCATGGGGGCTGCTGAAGTCAGGGTCTGAGGGTTGTCCGTTAGTAATAGGGTCTTGCTGAGACCAGAGGTCATTGAAGACAGGCACCATTTCCCACCTGAGACACTACCAGAGTACTGAATGGACATGGCTGTATGGTTGATTCTCTTTATACTTTTTGTTTTGCCAGTTTTAGCAATACCAAATAATGCGGAGAAATTCTTTTGATTCTTGCCTTTCAGAGTCTCTGGACAAATGGGAACGTCTCACAGTAGCTGATGCATTGGAACCAGTCCAGTTTGAAGATGGGCAAAAGATTGTGGTGCAAGGAGAACCAGGGGATGAGTTCTTTATTATTTTGGAGGTAAAGAACTCTGCATTTGACACTTTTTAAGAAGTCATGCACCGTAAGAGAAAAAGGGATTAATTCTGATGTACACCCGTAGATTTAAAGAATATCTGACAATTTTATTTAAAAATTACCTTTCACTTTGAAATGCTGCTGTTTGGTTCTCTGTCAGGCCAACACATTTTAATTAGTTTGAGTCAGAATTCTGGAACAGGCTATTCATAAAGAGCGAGCCAGAATCTGACCTACTGAAATTAATCATCCTCGTGCAAGCTAAACAAACTATGGCATAACAGACTGTAATGATTCTGCATCATCTTTGTTAAAATCATGTGCTTGGGCCATTTGGCAACCAAGGCTCAAAGGCAAGGATTTAAATTTTAAAAGTTACTATGTTTTATATCTTCACAGTCTGTGCAAATGTATAGCAGATACTCTTGACTGACAAGTAGATCCAGAAAGTGAATTTTCTATGACTGTGGCTCAGTAGATGCTAATTGATATTATTTAACCCAGGGGCAGGGTGGGGGAAATCAAAGGACTCTTTCTGTGAAGGGCCAGCTGGTCAGCAGTTGACCAGCTTGTGAGCCCTAGAGTTTCTGTCGAGAAGACTCAACTCTGTTGCCATTGTGCAAACACTTCGGTAGACACTGTAAAGGGATTGGTGAGTTGTTCTTATGAATTTACCCATAAAAATGGGTAGCAAGCTTGGACCCCGCCTCCTCTAGTTTGCTGATCCGTCTGAATCCTTCAGGTACAAGTACCAAGCACCTTAGCTTGATGTGACAGCCCCCTAGCAGAGGCTGCTGAGTAAAGAGGAATTAAGCTCATGCAGTTACTCTCAGCAGTCCACTTTTACCCTGTGAACACAGGGGATGTGAAATAACTGTGGAATCCTTGTTTTCCCAAAGTAGCTAAATTGTATAACATATTAAAATGCCACTGGTGATTTTATTCTAGGGGACAGCTGCTGTGCTACAACGTAGGTCAGAAAATGAAGAGTTTGTTGAAGTGGGAAGATTGGGGCCTTCTGACTATTTTGGTATGTAGATTTCCTCAGAATGAATATGTAGTTTAAGTCATCTTTCAGTGTGATACCGCAGTACCATAATTTGTCTTCTCTTCAATTTTATTTTTTAATTGCAATCTTTACCTTTTATAGAACTAGTGTGAAATTTTGACCTTTACTGAGTTAATAATTTAAGTTGGTGATTGTCTCATCTATCAGTTGGTTTATTTAAGCACAGGTGTGATGTGGCCTGTACTGAATTATTAAGAGAAATACGTATTTCTTTTCTCTTTCTCAGGAGTGAGGCTGTAAGGAAATGTTTCCCATAGAAGTGAGCCCCCTCTCACGCCCCTCTTTCTCCCTTCTCCAGGCGAGATAGCTCTGCTGATGAATCGTCCCCGTGCAGCCACGGTGGTGGCTCGTGGCCCTCTGAAGTGCGTTAAGCTGGACCGACCTCGATTTGAACGTGTTCTTGGCCCGTGCTCAGACATCCTCAAACGAAACATCCAGCAGTACAACAGTTTCGTGTCACTGTCTGTCTGAAATCTGCCACCTGTGCCTCCCTTTTCTCTTCTTCCCAGTCCGTGCTTCACTCTTGCAGACTGCTTTATTTTCCCTATTTGCAGCACTATGTGGCCACTGGCATCGCAGCTTCTTGTCTGTTTGTATTAAAAGTTGCTTTTATTGCACTGTTTTTAATTTGGAGCATTAACTGAATGCTCAGACGCAGTTAAATAAATAGAGAGTTCTTCGGAGACTTCGCTGTTACTGCTTCTCTCTGTGCAGTGTTAGTGTTCAGCCTGGGCAGTGTGTGCTGTGCCGTTTGGTGAGGGCAGATCCCGGCACCAAATGCATTACCATGGAGTAAGGGTGTAACAGTGCGAGATTTTTTAAGTGATATGATTTTCCAGTTATCATAAATATATTTTACACTGTGGTCATATATGCCATACTTGATAGAATACATGATTTCTCATTAAGCTCTAAGGTTTAGGAAAAACGGATATAGAATAACTTTAGAAAGCTATCTGCCTGTATTTAAACTAGATTAAGGGTGGAAAAATGCCCATTTTTGCTAATGATCAGATGGATATGATCTGTTACTTTTTTTCCTCTTTAACCAGATTTTTGTTTGTTAAGCTAATTTGCCTGGTATTGGTTATATCTTGTTTCTGCTCCAGTTCTGAAATCCATTTAGGGGTGGCTATCTATAGCTGCCTTTTAAGTTTGAAACGGAATCATAGGCTGCAAATATTGATTATGATTTAACTACATCTGCCTCAGCTCACAAATTCTGATTAGACCGTCATTTATCCAGCTAGTGCCAAATACTGATCATCAGATGCTGAATTGAGAATAAAAATTTAAGGTCTACACTCTTGGTTGTTAACTTGGAGCTTTTGGTCAGTGTCCACCTTTCTGTGGACTCCAGGACAGTCTCCTGTGTGCATTCAGCACTGACTCCAGGAGGCTGGATTTGCCGGCAGCAGACAGACTGTATGGAACAGACATCAGGAAAAGGGAGGTGCTGTTGCTAAAGGGAGAAATGCCGGGTGGACAGAGTTCATCGCTGGGGACTCTGCTCCACTAAATTCACTGGGGCAGGGGATTTGGGAAGAAGTTTCCTACTTTGGTTTGACCTTTCCCCCCGCTTTTTTTGCATCAGCTAGAATTTATGGTGGGTTGGGGGTGGGGTAGAATGTGTCTGTGTTGTTTCAAATTGGTCTAAAAGGCCACTCTGCTGAAAAGTTCTGCTTTCCTCTCTAGCATTTATTTCTCTGGCAGGCATTTTGTTTTTCTAAAGTAAGCTTCTGTTCTGAGTCTTAACTGTATCTCAGTATTTTCCAGCCTTATCAACCTTATGTGTTACATTATTCCATGTGCACCAATGATACCCAACAGTTTATTTTTATTATGTTACTTTTTTAAACAAAATATCACAGTTCTGTAATGTAGGCACTTTTATTTTCATTGTGATTTCTGTGTAATGTAGGGCTGTAGTTGGGAGTGACTTGCAAGCATTTTTCCGTTTACGCACCTGGCTCTGATTACTAATCCCTTCTCCTACCCTTTCCCAGGTTATTTAAATTGGCCATGGTAGATTTTTTTCCATAGATTTGAACAGTTTTTTGGGTTGTTACTACTAAGTTTGGAGTATAAATCTGGGAAAGAGGTTTTATCTACATCTTAGTGTGGGAGAGAAAGCCACCTTATTACACATTTTTTATGTTTAAAAATAATCTGTATTAAATGACAGTTTTCTGATCTATACTTTATGTTTAGCTACCTTTTTATATTTAACAAATTAAAAATAAAAGTTATATTCCTGTTAGCATAAAGCTTGATTTGATCTTTGTTTAATGCCAAAACTGTACTTAAGTGAGTTATTTAGAATGCCATAACTTGCGGTTTCATATATGTACATAATCATGTTCATGTATATTTAGATACAAACAATGCTTCCTAAATGAGTTTTGCTCTTAGGTCATTTGGCTTGCTGTTTACTCCCTTTTGTAGTTTTTAATCTACGAAATTTTAAGGCTAAATTTAAAAATTATCACATTTAAAGCTTTATCTTTGTGCAATCTGATTATATGTGAGATATCACTATTGGCATAATTTGTCTTAGTTGATAATCAGGACTTTAGAAGTCATCATTTCTGGGCTTGCTAAGTGAATTTCTCAGATCTGTTGTTCTAGAAAGTATAGGTGGCCAAAGGACCATTTTGTATTGTTGCCTGGTTACTAGTCTGATTATTCTGTGCGTGCTAACATACTCTATTCTTTTTGTTATAGATTGTCTTAATGGTAGGTCAAGTAATAAAAAAGATTAAATAATTTAAATTCTTAAATGAATTGGTTTTTATTTCCTTTCTCCTTTTCTTCTCCCTCCACCTCTCCCCTTGGGATCTGCCAATCTGGTGGGCAAGAATGAAAATCAAAAGATTTTGAAATTCAAAGTGAATTTTGGGGTTCATGTTTTAAAAAGAGTCAGTCATGTGTTTGTTTACAGTGACTTTCAAGTTGGTTTGTCCAAGACTGAACCTGAAAACCTTGCTTGAAGTGGAACTGAGGAGTCACAGCAGATCTGTCTGTTCCCATAGCGGTGGGAGGGAGAAATCAACTCAAAATATGTGGATTTCCTTTTTATTGAAGACTGGTTCTCTGGCTTTGGAACTTTCCCAGGCTTAATGGGGAAACATTATTTCTGGGTCAGCATACTCTAGTTTAAATTTAATAGTCCCTTAGATATGTAGGTGTGTTTATATATTTTACATATATAACATCTTATTCCTGACGTCTGTTCCACAGATTTCTGGGGAGTCAGATGATTAAGTTGTACTCACTAGTGTATTAATTTCTTTACATCCAATGAGTTGGAGATACGCTGTGTTCTAGAACAACCTTTAATTTGCATTGCTTTGTAACAGCTTGTCTGGACTCAGTAATCCCTTCCTTCAGTAATCCCTAACTCACTGGAGTGGGAACAACAGAGCCAACAGGGTACAACTAAAAAATTTCCTAGGTTGACCATACTGGTTATAGTTGAACTCCCTCTCTAAAACACTGGCTCACTGAGAATTGTTTTTTTGTTTTTTAATGCCTTAACTACTAACATTTAAAAATTGAAGTAACATGATGTCAGTTTTCTTGGTACTGTTTTATCTCCAACCACAAATTAATAGCTGAACCCTTTTGGTAAGCCGACCTTGAGCAGCAGTTGCTAGGTCACCATTCAGTACATCCCCCAAAGTAGCTATCATTATAGTTAGTAATAAAGGCTGTACATAGGAGAATTTAAAAGCGGGGGAGGTGTGGCTCAGTGCATTGAGCAGGGGCCTGCGAACCAAATGGTTATCAGTTCAGTTCCCAGTCCGGGCACATGCCTGGGTTGCAGGCTGGGTACCCAGTGCGGGGTGTGCGAGAGGTAGCCATACACTGATGTTTCTCTCCCTCTCCTTCCCTTCTCCTCTGTCTGGAAATAAAATCTTTAAAAATGAAAGGGAGAATCATAAATCTTTCTGCTTATCCTATTGAACTTTTACACAGACACCAGTGTTATGTACTGATAAAGTTAGAGTTTGCTTATTGGCATAAGTTCAGAGCTGTGACTTAACTCTTATTCTGCTGTGATTACCAAAACTACTAATGGGTATAATACTTCCCTTTTGTGAAAGTTATGCCAGTTGAACTCAAGTAGATATGTGATTTTAAAATTCACCACTAGATGGAGAGCTTTTTTGTCATTTTTGTTAATCTCAAAATGAGTTGCAGTTTATTCTTGTTCACAGATACTGTAGCGAATTGGGGGTGTTTGTCCATTTGGCTAACATTTATTTGGAACCCCGAAATCAGTGCTCACAGCCCATCACAGTCACTTCAGAACGTGAGCGGTGAAGACTCCGTCTCCCAGCATGCATGGGCCCCGCCGGGTCTGGCTGAGCAGGGTGATGCTCGGCCTGTTCGGGCTCTCGGACTAGAATCAGATGTCTCTTTCGTGGTCTATTTGGTGCCACATTTTTGCATTTTTGTGCTTTCTGTTGGTGATTTTGCTGTTTAAAATGGCCCCCAAGTGTAGTGCTACGGTGCTGGCCAGTATCTCACAAGGTAAGAAGGATGTGGCGTCCCTTACAGAGTAAGTGAGTGAGTTAAATAAGCCTCAGGCATGAGTTACATGCAGTGCTGTGGAGCACATGCTTAATGAGTCAACACTGTGTTAAGGTCTCTTTAACGTACCTTAACACATAAAACAAGATTATGTATTAACTGGTTGACAAAAATGTATCTGGAGGCTCACAGGAACCTAAACCTTCGTATTTTCTCTAGGGAGCAAATGGTTCAGTATCCATTAATTTAGTGTCTGGTAACTTCACAGATGATCCAACTACCACAAATAAGAGAATCAACTGTATTTTTTACTCTTCAAACACCAGTGTCCTGACTTAAAGGATATGTGAATTCTCTAAACGCCTTTTCTCCGCCAAGTGACATGCTCCAGAAGTCCCTTTCACTGTTTAGTTTGCTATCAGTAGTAACAAGAACAACTTTTACATAGAGACAGGAGGATTTTTACGTCATGGGAAGTTGAACAATGGTCCAGAAGGAACATGGTAGAAGAACTTGATAGTTCTAAGAAGAGAGTCATGTTTTCTGCTGTTTTTGACAAATGATAGAGCCTTAATTTTGCTGTTAGTGAAAACTTAATGGAACATTTAACATAAGTGGATAGTTAGGTATCTGGGTACTCTACAGATTGTGGTCAAAATCAGTTCTCTCTCTGTAAAGTACACCAAATTTGTATTCTAGGCCATTGGAAAACCAGTGTGTTGTCACAGGAAAGGCCCTGCGAGATGGAGCTGCAGCTTACCTTTATGAGGCTCTGCACTTCGGAAGTCCCAGACCACTGTGCTCTTCTGCGAATGTCTTGCATGGACATGGCTCCTCCTGAGTGAAATTCCCTGGTCCCTCCAAAGGGCATTACTGGCCTGAAGCAGGCAAACAGGTCATGACGTGGGAGGCCCTGGGGTGCAGCACTTACCTCTGTAAGGGAGGTCTCTGCAATTCAGGGTCCTCTGTTAATGAGCTGACTTTTGTTCTTTACATAATTTCAGCCCTGGCTGGGTAGCTCAGTTGGTTAGAGCATCGTCCCTATACACCAAGGTTGCCAGCTCGCTCTCTGGCCAGGGCACATAGGAGAATCAACTGATGAATGCACAAATGAGTGGGGCAAAAAATCGATGGGGTGTTTTTTCTCTCCCATCCTCTCAAATCCATCAATAAAAATTTTTTTTTGAAAGCAATACAACTTCATAAATTGGGCAAGACTCTGCTGGGTGTCTGTGTTGCCGTGGGAAGAACACTTGGGAGTAGGTGTGAGTCCTCGAGCTGTGTGGTTTGCATCAATCTTGGCGTGGTTTTCCTTCCGTGTGCATTGGATGTAGGGGACTCTGTGTGTTCGGGAGGACTGGGAACCTGCGTGTCCGTCCTCATGTGTGGTTGGAGCCCAGGGAGGGGTGGAAGAGGGACGTGAGGTTCAGGGGCAGTGTGCTGTGGGGCGTCAGGGTGGGGCAGAGACTCCCTGGTCCAGTCTGCGCTGTCTTTGGGCACACGGCAGAAGTGGAGGACTTCCCTAGCTCTTGACCTTGTACCTGTAAGTTGATATATAACCAGGAGTTTTCACTTGTTGACCGACTCAGCACTCCATAGCATGCCTACTTTCCTGGCATTTTGTGTTTTTAGTCATGGATTACGGAATAAGAAACAGCCTCCTGTTAAAGGAGTTTCAGACGTCAGCAAGTCAGTAGGTCGAATATGGAGGCGACAGGGAATCCCCGATAGACCCACTTCTGAGGGAGGTTTGCAAAGTAAGCTTGATTTAGTCCTTTTTGAGAAAACTGCTGGCAAGGGCATCTAGCCTGCCGGACCTCCAGATGGCCCCCTGCTGCTCTTGGGGGGCAAGTGGGGCACAATTCCGGGATCTTGGGGGGGATTGTGGTTACTGAGCTGGGGCGGGCCCTGGCCCTCCCCCGCCTCAGTCTGGGCTCATGTAGCTGCTGGGCCTGGGTCTGTGCTGTCCCACCTTCAAGGCCACCCCTGTTCCCTTTCATTAGAATTCTTCCTGTTATTGGGTGCTAATTTTGACATACTTGATGTTATTTTGATTGATATTTAGATAGTCTTCAGGTTGAAATATCCCTTTTCTGATATCCTGAGCAAATCCCTGTTACTTTTACCTCTTGTAATAACATTTCTTAGAAATTACTCTAGAGGACCAGTCAATAGTGATTATCGCTCTCAGGTTGGGCCACGTTGACTAGAATATAAGTAGAAAATGTGAAGTTTACTTTGAACCAATTTGAGAGTTAGTAGTTTTAGATTTCTTTGTTTGCTTGCGATATGCCAGATGCTTTATTGGGATTGGGAATTACCCTTGTAGGTACAAAGAATCTGGAGGTTTAGTTAGGTGTCCACTGGATGTCCTTTTATTTTTTTTGTAACAGTGAATACTCTCTTCTGGGAACAAGGTTTCCAAACCTTTCAAGCCTGCCCGTGTACCCAGATTTATCCTGATTTCTCAGTGGGCCCAGGAGCTGGCCTGTGGCCTTGGCGAAGCCGTGCTTCCTGAGCAAGAGGGAGCCAAGGCCGTCCACTGGAGAAGCAGCGTGCCAGGGAGGAAGGGCCGGTGAAGCCCACTTCTGCTCTTTCAGAATCATCCCAATGCCCCGCCTGCTTCCCGAGCTCATGCCCCAAGACCTGCCACGTCCCGGGGGCGCGTGAGCACGCAGTGGTCCACACTCAGGTCCACTGCTGGCTCCAGGGGTAGTACCTGCAGCTGGACGGGTCCAGCCCCTAGCTTGCCACATTAGCCTGGCCAGAGTCTGGGGCCGGCTGTTCTGCTGGGTCACTGGCTATGACGCTGTGTTCTCCGTGGGCCTCCACACAACCCTGCACTGTCCTTAGGATGATCTGGAGTCTCCGGTCCAAGGCGAGGAGGTGGGGCTCTGTGAGGATGGGGGCGAGCTGGTCCGCCAGCAGTGACTCCCGCATCACGTCGCTGAGTCTGTACTCGGCTTGAGCCAGCAGCTGCAGGTGCAGAAGTGTTTTCTTTTTTATCCTGGGAGGGCAGAGTCATAGGGACCACGTAAGTCAATGTAAAGAAAATAACTAACTTCCTCCACAAGAAGCCGTTGTAGCTGATGTTCTGAGAGCCTCTCCCTGAATGTCTTAAGCACACCTCAGTGGAAACCAGGTAAAAGGAGTGACTGAGAGATGACCCAGTATTCTGCAGCCCTTTTCCAGTGGCCTTTTGGTCAAAGGCCTGCAGAGCCATTTGTACTCTGCTGGTTGTGAT